TAAAAAGAGATTGGCAGAGGAAGACAACAGGTGCTTTCCGACAGCCAGCTTGAAGCGCAGGACGTGTTTTGGATGCTCAAAACGTAGCTTGAATACCTTTTTATTTATTTTAACTCAATCCTCTTTTGCTTATTTGGTTTAAAATTATTTGCCTTCCATGGACCTCAATCACACAATTTTTCCAGTGGGGAAATGACATCAATAGTAGAAATTACGTGGAGCTGGATTTTAAGCAGACAACGTATGTTGTGACTTGACACTATATAAATAAACTGAATTGAATTGAATTTGTGCAATAAGACAAAACAGTCTTGTTGTTTTCAAGAGTTTTCACCTTAAAGAAATTAGTTAAAAAACTGATGTAACAATACAGAGTTGGATGTTGTCTTGATATTTGTTAAATTTTATATATTAAGAAATATTCATCCATCCATCCATCCATTTTCTTCCGCCTATCCGGGGTCGGGTCGCAGGGGCAGCAGCTTCAGAAGGGAGGCCCAGACCTCCCTCTCCCCAGCCACTTCTTCCAGCTCCTCCGGGGGAACTCCAAGGCGTTCCCAGGCCAGCCGAGAGACATAGTCCCTCCAGCGTGTCCTGGGTCTTCCTCGGGGCCTCCTCCCGGTGGGACGTGCCCGGAATACCTCACCAGGGAGGCGTCCAGGAGGCATCCTTACCAGATGCCCGAGCCACCTCAACTGGCTCCTCTCGACGTGGAGGAGCAGCGGCTCTACTCTGAGTCTTTTCTGGATGACTGAACTACCCACCCCATCTCTAAGGGAGAGTCCAGCTACCATGCAAAGACACTTTGACCACTGCAGTCTCATTCTTTCAGCCACTACACAAAGTTCCTGGCCATAGGTGATGGTAAGAAGTTAGATCCAATTGGTAAACAGAGGTAAACATTCTTTCCTAACTTGTGAGGTAAAGGATTTCAAATATAATTTCAGTATAATTGTACCTTTTGTCAAGTAATATATACAGTATATAGCCTCTGTTACATTTTTTTAAATGTAATATTCTGTTAGTTTATAGTTGGGTTGTATTTTTCCCACTAAGTGTCTTGTTTACTTTAAACCTTTGACAATGTAACAATGAAACTACTCAGTTCAAAAAACATAATAACAAAGTAAACTGTAAGCATTTGTACGACTTTTAGTAAAAACAGAAAAATACCTAAGGGCTTGAAATCTTCACTGAGTTAATTATAGATTTAATATATTTTTTCTTTCTTCCCTTCATCATTTTGATTTCAAATGGAGACCTGCATGCCTCGGTAACAGCCGTCAACTTGTCAGACATAAAGGGCCTCTACAGGAACAACCTTGACTCAAGAGACTTTACATCTACTGGGTGCACAATAACTTCCCGAAGCTGCTTTTCTTTTGACTTTAGTAATCTAAAAAAGATAAATGGGAAAAATGAGAGAGGGAGGTTTTTATTGAAGGTCTGTAGGGAAAAAGAGTGCACAAAGAGAGAGGAATTTTAATGAAATCTTTGTTATATTCATTGAGCCAACCGTGAAAATTTTGATTCTTTCACCTTGAGTGTGTTTTGATTGACTTGTATAGTTATATTTATTGAATTTCAGGTTCTAACATCAAATTATTGGCAAAAACACATCACTTGGTAAATAACCTTGAGCTGAAATTCCAGTTTTATAGAGATGTATTTAAGTGAAATATGTAAAATGGATCCCTTGATCTAATTAATTTTTATTCAAAAACTTAAACGAAGCTTTTATTACTATAGCCACCTAATTAATATTACATTGTTACAATATTTGTTAAAACATAGCTGTTGTAATAATACAGGGCTCTAGAGTGCGACCAATTTGGTCGCAAATGTGACCTGATTTCCTAATAGTGTGACTAAAAAAATGTCCTGTCGCACTGGTGCGACCAGTCGTTCGAGGGGGAGTGGTTGCCCGCTAAAACTAAAAGTTTCCATGTTCCGTAAAAAAAATTAATCCAGTAGTATCAACCATAACAGTCGCCCGCCGACAGTCTCCATCTCTCCTAATAACACTGCGCTCTGCTCACGGGCTCCGCTCCACACCTCCCGCAGCACGCGCGCGCACACACACACACACACACACACACACACACACACACACACACACGTTTGTTGTTTTATCCTCATGGGGACTTTGCATTTGCTTCCATTCATTTCCCTGTCAATTCTATAGCCAACCATATCACCTGGCTGTGTATACCAGGAAAATGGTCAATAATTGTACCCATCATGAAGCAAAAACCTGTATACACACACACACACACACACACACACGCATGCGCGCGCATGCATAGTGAAACAACCATATTTTATTTTACCCATATCGGAGTCTGAAAAACATTTTTTTCTTGTTAACTGTGGAGATGAAAAGAAGATGTGGACGGTTGCTCGCTCTTAAATCCATCTTGCTAAACAGTTGAGTTCTGCTCTGTGAGCAGCAAATCATTTCAGCAGGACGAGGAAGCTCACATGTATGGCAGGCCGCTGTTACACTTAATTTGTTTCACCACAGTTACATTCCAAGTATCTGAAATTGATTCTTCTGGGTCTCAGGAGGACAAAACTAGACATATTCGATATTCAAGTGAAATAATATAATAAGATTCAACTAGTGCTAATGAAATTGCAGACTTCTATGTGTTATTATTTTTATTTTAAAATCTACACAACCTTTTAATATCAGTGATATTTCTGATATTAATCAATATTCTCTGTTCATCATTCTGGTTTATCCAAGGCCAAAGATCCATAGCGCCAAACTACAGGAGCTGTCCATCTGAGGGGCATATGTCTAAAAAATATTTAACCATGAAATGTTTAAGATGTTTATAAGATGTTCAGCCCTTAAACATTTGCACTTAGAATTTTATAGAATCACTTTAAATACTTTTCAGTAAGTTAGATGTCTACAATTCTGGTTCAAATAAAGAACTTCATGTTTACTAGATTGTTAACTAATTATTTTCAATTTAATGTTGCCTTAATGAACAGTGATTAAAAAAAAATAACCTGTAAAACTCTGATGAACTTTTGTGCTGGTGCGCCTAAGAAAAAATGTTAGGCGCACCGGTTGCAAAAAGCTAGTCTAGAACCCTGTAATATGTATAATATTGTATTTGTTTTATTTTAATGCATCAAAGAGGATAGAAAAGAACACAAATAAATGTTTTGACATAATTTTTAAAATGTGTTAGATATTTCATTTACTTATGAAACAGCTTTAAATTAAAAGTTACTAAATATGTTTATTTAAACCTTGCCATTGGGACCAAATATACACTGCCTGGAGAAAAAAAAAAGTGTCCACCTGGATTTAACTAAGGTCTATGATGTGGGGTTGCTGCAGTTGGTCAGGTCTAGGTTCAGCTACATTATGTGCTCAAAGAATGAAGTCAGCTGACTACCTGAATATACTGAATGACCAGGTTATTCCATCAATGAATTTTTTTCTTTTCTGATGGCACAGCCATATTCCAAGATGACAATGCCAGGATTCATCAGGCTGAAAATGTGAAAGAGTGGTTCAGGGAGCATGAGACATCATTTTCACACATGGATTGGCTCCACGGAGTCCAGACCTTAACCCCATTGAGAATCTTAGGGATGTGCTGGAGAAGGCCTTGAGCAGCGATCAGATTCTACCATTATCAATGCAAGATCTTGGTGAAAATTTAATGCAACACTGAATAGAAATAAATCTTGTGACATTGCAGAAGCTTATCCAAACAATGCCACAGAGAATGTGTGTCATAATCAAATCTAAAGGCAGTGTGTGACCTGTTTTTGGTGGCGACTTAGTTTTGTGTGTGCATTTATTAAAAAAAATGATATTTCAATAAAACAAACTCAATTTTTTATTGGAAGACATGTAGCTTAAGCCCTGAAGCCTTTAAAATGAAAATAGTTTTATAATATTACATTGGAGAGCCAGTAGGGGTTTAATAAAACATGATTGTTTTAAAATATGTGGGAAAATCTAGAAAAAATACAGAATAAACACCTTCATTTCATTATAATTCTTAAAGTATTTAAGATAAGATAAGATGAGATAAACCCTTATTGTCACAAAGCTTATTCCTCAGAATAAAGTATTTTTTGTTCTCCTGTCTTTAACATTTAGAATCTAACAATGTGAAGTTATTTAGTTTGGTGGCCTCTGTGCAAAGTCCACATTTAGCCACTACAGGGGATTTCTCATGCATAAATCAGTTAAAGCAACACTATGGATATATTTTTGATGAGGAAATGACATAACATGATATGAAGCTCAAAGTCGGCTGCTCTCTCTCTCTCTCCCCATACACACACACACACACACACGCGCACACACACACACACACACACACACACACACACACACACACACACACACACACCACCCCCCATTTAAGGAAACAAGTCACATCAGTTGAGCACACTCAATCAGACAAGTGACACTGTTTTTGGAATGTAATTATCAAGAATTTTCCACAGGAATAATATGAAGGAAAACAGGAGGGGTTTTGAAACATATTAAGTTTTTTTTAACTAATCTTTGAAAATAGAAATTTGCTCATGCTGACTGAGCAGGGTTGTCAAGTATTTGCTTATACACTTGTCCACCATAGTCTGTTTAATTCTGAATGAATCATTATTACCTAAGGATATATTTAATAAAACGATGAGGTATTAAATGTTTTCCTCTTGGTTTATGAAAGCGACAAGGGTTTATATTTTTACCTTCTTATGTTACGCTGCTCTTGTTTACTTTTGTGTTCTTTTTAAACTCATATAAATATCTTCATAATTATCTTGCACTCTATTTATTCAATCAAGAAACCTGAAAGGATATAAAGAGCAACTGAAAGCTTGATTTATTTCTATACTTTCTATCTGCACATACTGTTTTATTGTTGTTATTACTAGTTCAGTTTTTTTGTCATATATCTGAGTTAGTTTTTTTATTGTACTTAATCCTTATGTCTTTCCATCCCTCTGTGTTTAACTAGGAGATGTCTAAGATTCTGAATCATCCACGTGTCTTCGCCTTTCTTCACGTTCCCGTGCAGTCAGCCTCAGACAGTGTACTGATGGACATGAAGAGAGAATACTGCATTGAAGACTTTAAACGAGTGGTGGACTTCCTCAAGGAGAGGTATGGCGATGTTTCTTTGTTCTGTTCACCAAGAAAACCAACTTTGAAATCATAAAATCCATCTTTGTATTGATACTTTGATACCCCGACATACATTGATTTAATAGAAACATTTTCAAATGCTTGTATTTTTTTCTTGATTAATTTCAAAGTACTGTTTCAGTTCACTGCTTTGAGTCTTGTGGATATTTTCACAGTGGGCTGAATGGGATATACTTTATCTCTTACATTTAGTCAGAAGCGGGAAGCATTTATAGGAAGAAAGACATGGCTTTGAAAGCTTTCCTGGAAACTTTAAAATAAAGATATAAAATTAGTTTAACTTACCTCAGTCCATCTGCTTAAGTAAAGCTAAAAATGAAAGTAGTTGATGGATGTAATTTACCCAGTCAGCAGCTGAGAAATGCCTGCTTTGGACAGCATCACAGATGGCTTTGTGTCACAAACCATCTGGTGAATCAGGTTAGCTGTACGGTGGCTATTTCTCATTATCTTAGTATAAAAACAAACGTATTTTTTAGCTGCTTAAATATGCCACTTTCTTTTTAAAAGTAGGATAGAAACATATCGGAAAACTGATGGTACCGTTGTTAAAATGGGGTATGATTCAAGGATTTCTCAAACATGCATGAATGAGACAAAGCAACACTCTGGGTGTGTTTTTGATGAGATAATGATATCATAGGATGATATTTAAAAAAAATATGATTTTGAATAATCCCCACAAGACTTGATGTTAGATAAAATTCATATTTGGAGAAAATAAACCCAGTTAATACATATTCACACACACAAATCAGTTAAATGTATACATTTCTAAGATGGGATTGTAAACAGGCTGTACAGATTTAATGTATGATGTGGAATGAAAGATGAAAACTTAATCTTCTTTTTGTATTATAGATGATCCATTATGAAATAATTACACTGCTCAAAAAATAAAGGGAACACTACTGCTCAAAAAAATAAAGGGAACACTTAAACAACGCACGCTAAGTCCAAGTAAATCAAACTTTTGTGAAGCACATCCAACTCTGTACAGAACTAAGTACTCAATGCGAATATTTCATTGATTAAGATCGGGAGTTAGCGTGCGTTGTTTAAGTGTTCCCTTTATTTTTTTGAGCAGTAGTTTTCCCTTTATTTTTTTGAGCAGTGTATTTACGTAGGTGCATGTTGGAGTGGCAAATAAACAAAGTGATGCTTCAATAATGCAAGTTTGAGGAATTCATATTAAAATGAGTTTGTGTCGTTTTTAATCTTTTGGTAGTGTTAGACAGTAAAGATGAGGCATATGTATGTCAGTGAGGTAACGTGTAGCGTGTTATTTTTTTTCACCAGATTATAACAACCTTTTCTTTTGGAATTATGTTTTTTTTCGATCAGTGCAACTATTTATATACCCGCAACAAATTTAAATCCAAATGTGTACTTGGTTTTACATAATTAACAACTAGATGATCCTTAGCAAAAAAACTATTCAGCACTTAAAGTAGCACTATTCTAAATATTTAGACATTCACAGCTTGCGTGCATATCTTTTGGTGTTGCACAACATGTTTTGTAAATGTAAAAATTGCTTTAATCGGATGATGTCCATGTGCTGCAGGAATCAATACATTTTTATGCAACAGCCTCAAATGGGTCAGAGTCTGGCAGGATTAAATATAAAATGGAACTGGTGATGATTTTTATGTAGCTTATGCTACAGATATGTGGTGGAAAAAAAACTATATCATGTCTGTTAAACAAAGTGCAGAAATATATGATCAAAAAGTTCTTCACTACAGTGGTCTCTGAGTAATTTTATTTCAATAAAATGAGAGTCAGCATGCATACAGCAATACAAGTTGAGTCTGAGGACACAGCCTCAGTGAAACATCTTCATACTTTTAGTAGAAACCAGTCCCAAAACTGGTCATTTTTGACATGCAAGGAATGGTTCTTTATCTGAGCAGCAATGTTTCCTAGTTTCAGTTAAAACTTGTTGTGTGGTTCTTAAACAGAGAAAAACACCTTAGAATGTGGTTATACTTCCTATTTCATTGTCCCTTACGTGTTCACATTCCAATAGTAACAAAGTAAATAGTTCTGCAATCCAGTTGTGCAGAAACTACGGGTGTTTGTGGGTGAGGTTTAAGCTGGAACAACAACAAATGACACTATAAAGGTGCGCTACCAGAAGCTTACAACATCAGTTGAAATGATTCAGAATATGTCGTGACAGTTGGCATACAATACATTTATAAGGAAAACAAGAAAGAAACAATTAAAATACATTTAAAACTTAAATACATTGGTGACAATTTCATTTTTCTTCACAGATATGTAAAAAGAGCCTTTACAAATAATATTAAGAGTTCATCTATGAAGAGCTACAGAAGCACAAATTGGCAAAAATGTTATTAGTGATTCTAATTCATATTATGCATTTTTGTTTCGAATTTAGCTGTGTAACTGCAGACCAGTTAGTTGTCTGAGCTATTTCATATCAACAACTAAATTAATTTATATTTTAAATATGCTATCTTCTGGTTTCTCATTCAGCAATGCAACATGTTGTCAGGGTCTGATGAATCAAGTTTTATTCACATCGGTTAATTTTTGTAACCTTGGGAAGACATGGCATTAGATTGAACAAACAGGTGGGTGCATCAAGCTGATAATTTGGACAAAGCTCTGCTGAGAAATTTTGGGATTTTGCTAATCATAGATTGTATTGCTTGTCAGCTGTAGCCTGATTTAAAAAGAAAATTACATCCTGCCACACTGTTAAAGTTATTTTTAAAAGAGTTTGAATGATACAACAATTTTAAGGAGAAGGATTGGCCCATATGTCAATCCATTTATGTTACGGTTGGGTAACAGGCGTCCCGCCAGTGACTTCCATCCAGCTTGTCAATGAGCTGCGTTGAGTGCTTTTTCTAAACCTGTCCTATAGCTTCAAGAAAACCTTTTAAGCCCTTTAGACTAGTTTTAATGTTTGGATAACCTAAAATATATATAAAAAGTTTGTTTCAGACAATAAATTAAATCAGTAAAACAATCTGGACAAAGATATAATTGATTGTTTAAACAACATTTTTTAAGGTATACATTTTAAACCAAGACTAGACTTGAGCATATTTTTGTCAATTTGTTTCTCAGAGATTTTTCCCTCCAAAAAAAAATTAAGATTTTTTTTCCCACAGCGCTTAAATCCTGTTCTTAGCAAATTTGGACATAAATTGTTCCATTAAAGTCATTCCATCCAAACCACAGTGGGAATACTGTAAAAGATTTGCTTTTCTCCAAGTAACATTGCGACAGTTTTTTAAAGATATTATGACCAAATGGTTTTCTATTGTGAATAATTCTAACAATCAGCACAATAATAATTAAACTGAAAGCATTCAATTTGTTCTCATTTGCTAATGCAACCATATTATTTTACTCTTTTTCTCCTTGCTTTGATGAATCAAAAACATGACAATGTACAGTCTTTATGCAATGATATTTGCTGAAAATCCTTTTAAGGTGGAATAATACTGTTACAGTGTGTGTGAATGTGGTCAGAAGATTTTCCACAGTCATTTTATAGTTTGTCATAAAATCTGGGCACATTTTCCCTGAACTACTCTTGAGGATTAAATGTGTTTGAAACATTTAAGCCAAAGATAAAACGCTTAGAAAATAGTTATATTCCTGTGAGTTGGGGTTTGGTTACATCTGCAGAGGAGCAGAGTCTTGACAGTTTTAATGCCAATATTTGTGGTTAGTTTAGAGGAGGAGACAGCTGAAGCAGTCTTGTTACTGAATAATATTAAAATTTGGAAATGGTTTGGCATTGTAGGACTTTCACACCCACTAAGGTGCGTCTTGGGTTTAGGTGTTCCTCACCTCTGAAAAGCCTATAAGCTTCAGGTCATAGAGGTCCTTCCTTCATGGAGATCCACTTACATTCTTTTCAGCTTTAGTTTTTTATATAACCATTTGAATATACATATTTTTCCCTGTAGTGTTAAATGGCAGAATTAGATCCACAACAAGAAATTACAACTCCATTATTTAACTTTTCCCCCAAAGGAATGCAGACTTCAAGTTTTAAATCTTCTTGATATAAGTAGCTTATTGGCAACATGACCCTGGACTGATAATTAACACATTCTTGACCTATAACATTCTTGACCTATAACATGACCAAGATGAACCTTCTACTTCCATAAATCTTCTAATGATCTTGCACTGGTGTATTGTTTTCTGTTTCTCTCTTTCTGTAAAGGATGCCTTTTATCTAACTTAACACAACTCTCTTTCAAAATAATAATTAAAAAATAGCCAAATGTTGGGTTGCTTGCATCCATTATTAAATACAGTACAATAAAGATACTGAATAGCAGTGGTGGGCAGCGCTAATCCAAAAATTATCTCCACAATTTCTAAAGTGCTTATGAAACTATTTAGGTCCACAACTTCAAAAGTGCTTATGCCATAGAAAAACAAGCGGAAGCTAATTTTAAAGCACAAGTTCATTTTGACACCTACTAGCTGGCAACAATTCATTTACAATATATGCACAACACTACCAAATAGCGATGTATGAACTCTTTGCTCCTGGTGTAAAAATTAAAAGGTTGTTGAGGATTACTAGTTCGGCTGCTTTGTCTTTTTCTTTTGTTTGTTGTAGATTTTTCATTAAAGAAGCATCAATAAATTAATTTTAAAACTTTATTGGAAAACTGAAGCGATGCATTCTGGGTACATGACGGATTTAATTTGTGACGGGAAACGAAAGCACGGAGTACAGGAAACTATCTTCCCTTCAAAATAAGAGCTTGGATTTTAAAGTTTTCCATGTAGTTGCTCCAGTTGACCACTAGTTGTCTGTCTTCACCAGCATAAAATCTTTAAATCATTTCTGAGTCTCTAACCCCGTTGGCCGATTGATTCTACCAATTACGTCAAGTATTGAGCTCCAGCGTTTAAATTTTTTTTTAATGGAGCTCCGATTGTAAAGTAAA